ATTCAGAAGAACCTGTGTAACTATTAAGTAAATAAATTAGCTTTGAGTTCTGTTTTTCTAGCATAGAATATTCATTATCTCCATAGGTAACAGCAAGCACAACCAAATTTGAAATCAGCATATCATAGTGAGCTATAAGCAACACTTCTTCTAACGCAGCTATCAGAAAATGTCTCAGACCCCAAAGATTGTCTTCTGCATAGTAGTGCTTAGCAAGTGGTAGAGATTGAGGTTTAGATTTAAATAGGAACTCTTGCATAAATATAAAGGTAGTATTTTGAACTCTAAATATTTTAAGGCAAAATCAGTAGGAAAATACAAAAAAGTAAGAAAATATAAGCTGTGAAGACATTTTTAATGCTTGGGAATTATTGTTATTGTCATTAAAAGAATAAGAAATAATGCCAAGAAACGTAAGCTCAGTTTCTGATTCTGCCATTGATTTGTTCCATGTCCAGAGTCTAAACTGAATGTAAACAAAGTTATCTTTATGTCTTTCCCAAGTATCAAATATATAGATATAGATAGATATCTAATAGATATATAATTGAATGTTTTCTTCTTTATTGGAGAGATCATGAGCTTTGAAAAGGCAGTACAAGTCTCAAATCTTGACCACCAATTTCTCATTTGTAAAATGAGAATAATAACAACAAATAGGAATTTTGTGAGAAATAAATGAATGTTAATTCATCTTTAAAAAACTTGCATAGTAAAATTCCATTGATTTATATCAAAAGAGATATTGCTTAAAAAGCTTTGTGGTCACAAAACTAGTCTTATTCAGTTTCAGAGGACTGTATAAAACAAAAAGTAAAAGTTTCAATGTTTATGTATCACTTGGGTGAAGAAAATAAGTAAAAAACAAAACTAAGACTCCCCTCATCCAAACCTTACAAATTTTCAGTAATTCAACTAATACTTTCTACGCATACAAGCATAGATATGCAGTTAATGATGTTTATTTTATTTTGTTCTTTTTGCAAAATATTGGAACACATCATGCACACTATTAATCTGTAATTTGCTTTGTTGACTTAACACTCTCTAATAGATATCATTTCATGTCAATACAAGCAGATCTACCTAGCTTTTTTAAATAGTTGTATATTATTCTGTGTGTTCATACAGCCCATAGAGGGGACTTCTAAGGTGCATGAGAAAAGGGTTTGGGGATATCACAGGTATTTCAATAGCATAAAAACTGGAAGCCTATAGTCATTAGATAACTTTTGGAAATCAGGTTCAACCAAGCCCTAATTTTTTCTTTATGTTTTCTAGTTTGAATTTTTTTTCAGTAAAAAAAAATAAGAAAGAAAGAAAAAATTGCGATGAAAATTTTTTTGAATATTAGAGAGATTGAATATCTCTTTCCCATTGCTTTTGTGTGTTTTTTTTTCTTTTTAACTTGCCCATTGATCTCATTAGCCATTTTTTCTAAGTTCATCTTTTTCCTATAGGTTTGTGACAGTTCTTTTCCTATGAATATCATTATCTCATTGCCTCTTCTCTATTGAATGTTTTTTTTTTCTAGTGTGTCATTATTATTTTAAATGATAGTTTGGTTTTGGTTTCGGTTTTGCCATGCTGAGGGTTTAATAGCACTGATGAAAGCCCTTAAACCGTAGTTCTCCATGAATGAAAATCAAACTGGACATTGCTTATGCAACTGAGAAAATCTTGAAACTAACAGCTTAGTTTTAGATCCCTTGTTTTGAAGTTATCTCATTGAAGCTTCTAGATTAAATAAAATATATTTTATAAGTCACTTTCAGATAACTGAGATGCGCAGCTTATCCCTTCCACCAATTAATATTTATCCTCCTTCAAAAGTACACACAACTTTTACTTTTTTCAAGCAATTTCTGGGAATGACTGCCCCAGTATATTCTTCTGCGCCTTATACTCTTAGCTTCATTTTGTTCAGTAGTTTGCACTTATTGCTGTAATACTTTTCTTTTAATTATAACCCATGTTTCTTGAAGTAAAATCAACCTTAGTGTAGAAAATCAAATAGAAAAACAATATCCACTTAGTATATTTTTGGTTCTGCACCCCTGCTTTGATCTAGCTCCTCATTATTCTCTCAGCTACAGTTTAATGTTCTTCATTCTCCTTCCCTATGTATTCTCCATGGAGCTGTTCCCCATGTTGCTCTTTTTCTGTTCCCCTGTGTATCACTGCCTCCTACAGCATACACCCAGTTTCCTATCACTGCTGGTGCATGATAGCAAAGTTCCGAGTCCCCAAACTTGTTCATGCAGCTTCTTCCCATTTCCAGAGATCACAGGAGTGGTCCTCAATTGTAAATAAGTAGCTACCATGGCTCCTGAGAACCAAGGATGAGCAGTTGTTGTTTTCCAAACACTTGATATAACAAAACCATTGTTTCCCACAACCATCTCTACCTTTTCCCCTTGTAGTTTTCTTCATGCAACTTACCACAATATTTATATCTATAGCTATTATTTATATTTAATTTATATATGTATATTTATATTTGTGAGATACCAGATTGTAAGGTTCAGAAAGGCAAGGACCATGCCTGTTATGTTTATTAGTATGAAATCTGCCCTTAGCACAGTACACAACACATGTTAGGCCTTCAATTAATAGCTACTTATTAGAGAACTAGAGGCCCGATGCATGAAATTCATGCAAAAGTAGGCCTTCCTTCCCCCGGCTACTGGCACTGGCTTCCCTCTGGCACCTGGGACCCAGGCTTCCCTCACAGCCCAGGCTTCATCCAGAAGGTCGTCCAGAAGGACATCTGGTCTAATTAGCATATTATGCTTTTATTATTATAGATGTTACTTATTAGAAGTGAATAGCTTGTAATAATAGGCCGAGCCCTATTAGAAAAAACCTTCTTGGTGT